TGGTGAAAAACCATTTTCACGGAAACTTAAGTCAGTTGATAGTCTTTAACTATTAAATCAAAGTAGAGAATTTACATTAAACGCATTTTATTTATATGAAACGGTATAAAATTATTTAACAAAGATGAGTATGAAGTATAAAGACAACTTATTGACTTATATTCAATGTACAAAAAATGCTAACTATGAAATATCTAGAAAATAAATAAATCAAAGCTGGTTCTTTCGTATTAGCCAAAACCTTTATCCAGGCAGTTACTGCACAAATATTTAGCATGTTCTAAACAAATATAAGCCTTACAGTTTACACAAAAGTATCGAGTTGGCCGATTCTTTTTACGATCACAAAAACGGCACCGTCCACGTACATTTTCTCTAGGCACCACTTCTTGATGTGCTTCCTCAATTCCCAATATTTCTTTGATTCTTTCTCTTAGAGACCGTGGAATATGAAGCAAAGTGGCGCGATATTTGAGGTGTTCGTTCACAAGTTCAAAAGAAAGCTGCCGCAAAAACATCCTCCTCAATATTTTTTTATCTGGGTTGTTCATATTGAAGATTACGAATGAGTTTATCAAACCTACATTCAACATGGCATAAAAGATGACCATCGTCCACCTTCTGGTATTTCTAGCGCAGTTGTAATCAGAACAAAGCTTATCTACTGCGTCCACCCCGCCTTTAGTAGCGTTATATGACATAATTATTTCTGGCTTATTTGACTTCTCATCTAGTTGATCATCATAGTGCATACTTGAAACTAGTAGCACATTTTTCCCTCTTTTAGGTATGTATGAAACCAAGGTACAGTCGTCCTGAAATGCGAATATTGAAGACTTTTCTGAACGCTGGGACGAGTGAATTCTACAGGCAGTTTTCGAATTGTTCCGATTATGGTTAATCTGAAATTCTTTTTTAGGTTATGTACTAAATCCATACTGGTAAACCAGTTATGAACCGTGACATTTCTTCCAGTGCCTCGAATTGGTTCACAAAGTCTCTGAACAACTGCATTTGGTGAATTGTCAATTTGAAATGGTCCCTCCGGCTGTTTACCAGCATACACTTCCATGTTACTTGTATAGAAAAGTTTAGCATCACAAAGAGCAAATATTTTAATACCGTACTTATTCGGTTTATTCGGGATGTACTGACGAAAGCCACATCTACCGCGAAAGGCCTCTAGTTTTTCGTCCACGGTCACATACTGGAACGGTGTATATCCACTTTTACAATTATTTACGATAATACCGAACACTTCCCTCACTGCAGCCAGCTTATCGGATGCTTTTCGCTCTTCACGAGTTGCAATATCATCAAACTGTAAATGTCGTAAAATGAAGCGAAATCTATTACGTGACATACAGAGTCGAAAAATTTCCACACCCGTACCGGCGCTCTCCCAAAGATCCATCGTATTTAGTCTCCCACTTTTCAAAACACCAGAAATATAGAGAATTCCAATGACTGCTAACATTTCTGATTTTGATGTTACATTTGCAACTCTCACCCGAGAAAACTTGTTTTGGGTAGCAATAATATTTCTGTTCGTATTTTCCACCATAATGTCAATTACTGCATCATTGAAAAAATATTTCCATATTTGTAACGGAGATTTTAGATTTTTTAGGTCGCCTCTAGGTCCTGGAAATCGTGTTACAATGTTTTCTGACCTAGTTCTGATATTTCTTGGAGGTACGTGTTTTCTCCATTTCGTGTCGTTGTCCTTACCGATGAAATAAGGACCTGTGTCTGCCGGCTCTAAGGATTGATTCAAATCCACTTCTGTATCTGAAACTTCTTGTTCTGTATCTGAGTGTTGACTACACTTGCTTATGTTATCTTCGTCCTCTTCCCTTTCATCATCAAATTCTTCTTCTGAGTCCCACGATTGCAAGCATTCTTCCATCAGTTTCTGTAAGGGCGCCTGTTCTTTTTCGTATTCACCCATTCTAGAAAATCAAACCAAATTACTATAGTAAACACATTCAAAATAATATAAGTTTTACTGTACCTGTATGAAATTTATTTTTCTTCAGTATAACACGAGAGCTCGCGCGGGACTGTAAGTCCGCAATCACAATTTATCGAAAAACGACTATCATCAACAACGTGATATGACTTACTATACCATAACTCACTAAAACTGTAATGACTCATCGATATTCACGTGGACATCACTCAACCACCGGTAGTCCGGTTGTCAGTGGCGGGGTAGGAATTTTTAATGTGGGTGAACTTGATTTCTTTTATATGTTTAATAAATAAGGAAATGGTTTGAAAGAAGCTATAGGTCAGAAATTTGGAGATTATCTTTATCATTTTTCCATCTGGCTATCCATGAGGTAACTGAATCTACCTCTCTTCATTCGTCGTCGCTTTCACTTCTGAAGGTAGTAAGCTGTCGCTATCGATTTCATCGCCAAGATTGGCTATAGTGGTGTCGATGTTGTGATCAGGCCGCAACATTTTTTCTTCCTTCACAACATGCCTGACAGCATTCTGCAACGCTTCAGGCGCCACTAGCTGTCTGGAATTCTCTAGCAAAGCCTTGACGTCTGAAAGTTGTGTTATGATGCGCAATATAACCCTCCATTTGAGCCCAGCTGAGCTTGGGTTCAGTTCACAATGCACATTGACACCACAATGACGGGCCATCTCATCAATCACCTATTTAATGTTCGCAGGTTTGTGATGTTTGCTTCGTACAGTGCGGATTTCACACACGAATCGTCAAACGGAATGCGCAACCACTGCTGCATCTCACCTTTTCGAGACCCCACATTTGGTACACGTTCGGCTCGACGACTGTGATAGGAAGCATTATCCATGGCGATCACAGAGTTGCATTCAACTCGCTGAAGCACACCTTAGAACCAGCTCTCGAAGCAGCTGGCATTCATTTCGACATGGTAATCGCCTTTCTTAGAGACGAAAGTCAAGCTGCGTCCTCCTAAAAAGCCACTATCGCTATCAATATGTGCAACGATCAATCTTTGACCTTTTCCTGACGATGCACGGAGACCAGTTGACAAACCTTCAATGCTCACTTGTCGGTTACTTAGTACATTTTTGTCTATCCAGGTTTTTCAACTGTGTGACCTACATTTACCCACGTCTCGTCCAAATAATATATTTTCTGCTCTGTGGTCTAACTATTATTATTTCGCGCAGTTATTTTCGACGCTATGCGGCTATTTCAGGTTTCTCTATCAATCCCGACTTTTGATTACGCGTTTTGTAACGAACGTTAAGTTCGTGAAGGGTTTTCCTTAATACTTGGACGCTTAGTGGGGCTATAATGTTATTGCTATTGATCTTTGCATGTATCGCCTCAAGGGTTGGTACCTCATTCCTTATATAGAATGAATCTACGGATCGTCTTAACGCCATTTTGCTGTCGCCGTTTAATTTAATGGCCTTTCGTCCCTACAAATGGCACTTTGGATCGGCAGTAGCTCCAGTTTTTTTCTGTTCATGCACCACCCTGCAAACAGTCCACTTGTCCGCCTGCCATGCTATGGCAACGCGTAAGTGCATCTCCCTGCGACATAGTCTTGTTCAAATGATTGAACACATTAAGAACGATTTCTTTCGCGTCCTTACGAAGCTTTCTACGTGCTCCCTGGCTTCCAGCACTTCCACTTGAAGTCTCACCCTCCATGGTTGAGGAAATATAAGTATAACCCGAATAACAACAACAGAAATAACCAAATATAACAATTCTTCTAACAACAAACAATATCACGCGGTAACTAGACTCTCAACGACACAAGTTTCAAGCACTACCATTCTACGCCAAAATATCGGGCCTTGTAGGCGTCATCTTACCCCAGGTCCGGAATCAGTTTTCATTCTTCCGTTCAGTTTAAGTATGGCAACATTCATGTGTGTTCCTTATTCTTATCATAATCGTTAATTTTGACTGGTTTTAGTGTCTTATTATAAGTAGACTAGCTCATCAGTTGAAAAACTACAATACGTTATGATTTTCAAGGCCACAAAATCATCTTGAATTGCAAAAAGTTGTAAAATATAAAATATAATTGAAATATTTCCCAAAGGCCCACGGCTTCGCCCGCATGAGAGTCAATAGTGTTACAGACAAACAGGATGGCGCACGGCATCAGCTATTCGTTCCTTGTTCAACAGCTAAATCGTAGTGCAAAATCCTCATTGAGGCAGCAAATAAAGCCGACTATAATTTTCTTGGGATAATAAATATAACTTGGCGAATTTTCACGGAATTTCGTGTATCATGGCGATCAAACAAACTTACTTGAAGGGAAAAAATTGGAATTCACCCGAGCGGGGTGGAATGAAAGCCCAAAGCTCAATCGCTTGAGCAAACCAAGACAACTGACATCCATTTCCAAACGGGCAAGGACCCAATAAAGCAACCAGACGACGATTCAAAATGACTATTTTCTCATGAAAAGGGTTACTTTGGCTTATCGAAGATCGCTATATGCATCCGCGGATTTTTTAGTTCCTTTGCAGACCCTTATTTATGTAGTAGTAGCATCTATGTGTGATCCACCATTTAGGCAGCGTATGCAGTTAAAGTCACACGATCGTGATTTTTTAAACATATTTTATTTATTAGAGCAGATCGCTATATGGAAGTCTTCTCCTTAAAGCAAGTCCAAAAATGAACAAACTGTTTTACTCAAGATTATTATAACAAATGAATGAGATCTTGTCAGCATAACATAAAAATTGAAGGGCTTGGGGCAGTAAGGGACCTAAGCCTCATTGGGTTTATTTTGAGAAAAAAGGCATTGTAAGTTTTGTGTAAATCCTGAAATCAGGTTTTTTGCAACAATCGGCTAGAACTGATGCAATATATTTCCAACTCAGGTAACTAGGATTTGGTGGCGACTAATTCGAAAAATTGTGACACATTTCCGTAGAAAAAATTTATTTTTGAAAATTTTGTGGCTTGGTGCCTTATTACAAAAAAAAAATAATGCATTCTGATGATAGCTTGAATCACTCATTTAGTCCAAATTCACTTCTTCATCATCGCCATCTATATCTTCAGCCTCTTCTTCTCCTTCCTTCGGCTGTTCACTGCCTGGCTCTGCTTCAATTGTAGTTCCTACAATATCAACAAAAAACTGCTGACTAATCGGCGGGATATATTTTAGAAGCTTTTTCAGATCTTTGATCTTCTTGTCATTCAGTGCTAGAGGTCCATTGTATTTTCTTCTCAAATCTGTCAGGGTTCGTTGACTTCCCAGCCGAGATCCTCTTTTACCCACATTTACCTCAAGAAATTCTCCGTTAAGGGTATGTTTTATGAACATAGAATTGGGATGTTCACTGTCAAACTTGAAACAGCGCACTTCATTAAATTTGACGGCCTCCTTATCTACGGTAGATTGTTTTTTCGTAATAGAGATGGAATCAAATGCATAAAAGTCATGTTGTTCCAATAAGACTGTGTCAAATGGGCTTTTTCTGTTGGATTTCTTAACGATATCCACCCAGTCTTCTGGACAGTATACCTGCTTGATGTACCTCTTATGCTTCTCAATGATGGCAAAGTCTCTATCTGAAGGCAAGTGAGTGTGGCCAGGAATAAGGAAACGGTGCTCTATGGACTTGAAGACTCCTTCGCGAACAAGTTACAACCACAAAGACATGATTACCCAGTTTTTGTTCTGGCCTCCACAGTTATCAGTGAAAACTACCAAGTGCTCTTTAGTGGAAGATATACCTTGTAAGTATTTCAGCAGGATGCTTGCAATCTCTTCACTTCCCCTTTTTGCAGTAGTTTCTGCCCACAAAAACATGCTACCTTTGCCAGTGACACAATCGTGTATGCCGAGGTTGTACGTCCAAGCCTTTCGTAAATAGAAGGCAGGACCCACAGTTAGCGAAGGCGTGGGAAGAGTCTGCTGTAAATCAAATGATATTATACACGTGGAATTTTTCGCATTGTCTGATACCTCTTTTTTCAAGCTATCCTGCATGGCAAGTGCTCTCGTCTGATGAAGCTGCAGTTGTGTTTTAAATTCATTGAATTCCTCCAGGTTTTCTTTATTTGCTTCCATTTGATTATTAAGGAAGTCGCATGTATGACAAGTATCACTCTTGGGCAACTTAAATCCTATATTGTAATCAGAACAGAATATTCGTCTATACCGATCTTCTTTTACTGGTGCTATTCCACGTTCTTTGCACCACTCAACATAATAGTCCATGTAGAGAGTAGATATGTTGAGGTCGTGGTTTAGAAAAACTCTATTTGGATTAACTTTCCGACTGTAATGGCTCACATATTTCGGAATGGCTTTAATATGGTCATGAACAGACTGAACTCTTTCTGCAGAAATTTTGTTGGGTCTGTTTTGATGTTTGCCCCTACCGTCCCTTTTTGGAGTTGTCCTGCCTTCAACAATTTGCTGAGCGATAAGTTTTAATCGCTTACTGGAGTTTTGAAGTCCATGGACCGATAAAAATTCAGTCTTACATATTTGAATGTCAACTCCATTTACTTTGACAAAATATTGGTTTGTTACTCGTCGAGCCGATTCCGCGCGTTTGGTTTTTTTTGTATCTTCTCTTTTTAGGTATAACCTTCACAGTAGAAAATAGATATGTATTCTGTTCGTCATACGAGTTCAAGTCCCAAAATGCATGGAATATAGTAGAAGCAGTTTCTTGGAGCAGTTGTCTGCAGTTCTTTTTGCACTGACATGGTGGACCTAATACTTTAGACTCTCGTTGTCGACCTTTGAAATCTATGTAACTGTGGCTAAGATTTCTGCGTGTTTTCGATTTCACTCTTGCTCTGCCTTCAATATTACGTTTTCTCCATCTCGATATATTTGGTGTTTCTGGAGTAAACATCTTGCCTCTGCTTACAGCAACCTAAAAGCCATTTTATTGTTACAAAAAAACATCATTTGACGAATGCCTATTTCAGTTGATTATCATAATAATAACTAAAATTATTTGTGACAGTAAATCTCAGTTCTATTTTGCAAAAGTTATCGCTATTCCCGGATACTGAAAAACGTCACAAGACACAGACATCAATTTAGTTGGCGAAGAAGGGCATAAGCCACTTGCACAAAATTACATATTTTTATCATGTGATCAGGAGTTATTTGCTGTTAAAAATGGCCTCTGTAAATTAGGATTACGATATACTCTGAGGAATGATTAGTCTGAAATCATAATCTAGTAATACTGCAGAAGTAATATTAAAAAATTGCACTCCTATGTGAAAAAAGCATAAGCCACATCTATAACGGCATTAAGGTCACAAGCCACAAGTTTATTTATTCACCTGAGTTTCTCGTTCGGAGTCACTGTCAGAACTGCTGCTAGTCGGATTATAGTCTCTGTCCTTTACACTATCATCTGATCCAAATTCAGAACCATCTTCGCTCTCCGAATCACTAAAACATCCATTATTTTCACCCGCGAACAATTTCCGCTTGGCGTCCATCTTGAAATGTATGTGGCTTATGTCCTTTTCGGCGTAAAAATTTGTAGACTAAACCAATCTGTCAAAAACGCTCTTCATGGATTATAGCGACATCTACCAGCGGATTATCAAACAAATCAACTTCAGACATAGATACCTACTCAACGAGTTCGCTCGTATGGAAATCTAATTTTTCATCAAAATGTGGCTTAGGTCCCTTACTGCCCCAAGCCCTTCAATTGTAACTGTAATAAGGAAATGAATCAAAACTGTAGGCCCATATTTTTCCAATTTTGGTTTATTAACATAATTGTATTCTAATATCTCGAAGTTTTTTCAAGACGATTGTGGAACATATTGTTACCCTAATAAAATGTGTATTATTCAGAATATGTAAATCGAACAATCAGAGCTCAGAATACCCCCCGTTCTAGCCTGACGACTCTCGACAGCCATTCCGTGGCCCGGCGGCAGTCAGACTCCGATCAGGCGTACGAGTCATTACAGTTTTAGATAGTTACAGTATAGAGTTAAACGTAACGTATACGGAAGATGCATAGCCGCTCGGCGGTATATTCGCGGAAATTGCCGAGTAGTCACGAAATATTTTTTACTGCGGACTGAGAGTCCGCGCGCGACCTATCTAGGGTTAGTTCACGTTCAGATGACACGCGTTGAACGCGCGCTAAATTTTTGTATAGTGTTCACATGACACGCGCTTGTCAGGCGTTGAACGCGCGTTACCGCGGCCGCCATGGTTCAGTCAGTAGAGTTGTTATATTTGTCGAAGATGGACGTAGAAACAGTTTTAACGGTGATTTTATACCGACGATGGCAGAAACGACGCGACAGAAGACGGAGATATTGGGTCCACCCAATTTTGTCACACAGGCTGACTGAATGCCAGTACATAATTTTGTATCCTAAGTTAAGGCAATTCGGACCCAAATTTTTTAACTACTTCAGAATGTCCATCAAGTCATTTGATGACTTACTGGCTCTCATAAACGATGAACTCGTAGCAGATAAAAAAGCTGTGCGATATAGCATTTCACCAGAAGAAAAACTCATAATTACATTGAGGTAAGTTTTTTATTAATCAAAATATCTATAAATCAAATCAACAAGGAAATATTTTTTTTTAAAGAAAAAAGAACATTTTGTTATTCGCAGAATAACTCTAACTCCGATTCATTGCTGGCATTAGTTGTTGCTGGCGATGGAGTGTGTGTTACTGGCGATAGAGGTTCCAGTGCTGTAGTATAACCATAATGTGCTAAATTATTTGGCACACTAGACACTAGATTGCTGTGATCTATAATCATGATGTTGAAAGCCTTCAACAGAAGCTTGATTACGCTGCTCTTGTGACAAATAACTTCTTCGTTGTGGTAACGGGTTACGATAATTTCGATTTTCAAATGTCTCATGTTGCGGTCCTTGATGGACATTTTGGTTTTGCAAGATTAAATTTTAGTATGAAGTCGTCTATATTCCGGGATTTTTTTAATCTCTTTAACGAGTGACAAACAAAACAGCTTGTCTTCATCGTTATCTTCTTTTGGATGCGAAGCATTTTTCTGTGCTAAACTCTGCTCTAATATGCTTGCAAATCTTTCGTCAGCAGAACTTATTTTTTGTTTTTTTCTTGGAGTAGATGTATTAGGACTCTTAAAGGCAGAACTGACTTCTACCTCAGCAACTTCTGACGAAGCTGATGCATTATCTGCATCGAAACTACTTTCTGTATCTTTGTTGGCTATAGATTTCTGTAGAAATCGTAGTCTATTATAATGAATATATGACGAAGTTTTGGACGCTCCTGATCCAGATTTAACAGTCTTCATTTTCTTCACCTCTCTCATATAATTATCTCGTAAACTCTTCCATTTCTTTTGCAGGGATAACGCTGAAAGAAAAAACAGTATTTAGTAATAGTTTGTATTTTTTAAGATATTTGGCCACATGATGTTCACTTGGGACATTAAGCTACGATTATAGAATTGGAAAATCTACTATGTCTACTATAATACCACATGTATGTGAAACTATTTGGAGAAAATTGAGACCCATTGTTATGAGTGAACCAACGAAAGAAAAGTGGTATGAAATATCCACGATATTTGAAAAGAACTCAAAGTTTCCAAATTGTTTGGGAGCCTTGGACGGGAAACATATACGGTTAATCCAGCCTGAACACACGGGTTCCATGCATTATAACTACAAACACTTTTTTTCGCTAGTTTTATTGGCGCTAGCGGATGCAAACTATTGTTTTGTGTGGGTTGACATAGGTGCCTATGGTAAAAACAGTGACTCAGGTATATTCAACAATTCATCATTGTACAAAAAGCTGACAGAAAGGTCATTAGACCTACCTGAGCCAAAGGCATTGTTAATACAAAATAGACCGACAGTGTTGCCATATGTGATAGTGGCTGATGAAGCTTTTGGCATGATGGAGAATTTAATGCGGCCATATGGGGGAAGGTCACTAACTTATGCTAAAAAAATATTTAATAACCGTTTGACATTAGCACGCCGGTATGTTGAATGTACTTTTGGTATAATGTGCAATAAATGGCGCATTCTACATAGGCCGTTAGATGTTAACATCGGTTTTGCAGAAAAGATCGTAAAAGCGATATGTACACTACACAATTATGTCAGAATGAGGGATGGCTACAATTATGAAGATACACTTTATACTCCACCACTGGAAAATGTAGCCTCACATTATACCGGGCGTGCTGTGCGACAGGCGGATAATGTTCGAGTACATTTAACAAATTATTTCATCAACGAAGGAAAAGTTGATTGCTTGGATCGCAATATTTAATTTGTAACACAAACTGATTGTAAATGTAAATAAATATACTCACATAATAATTTCTTCTTTTCCTCATTGTCATCTTCACAGAATATAAGGACGAGTTCTTCCCAAGCCCGTCTCTTTAAGTTCTTATCTGAATAATCGCTACTTGCCATGTCCCATATCGCAGGACGTTTCTCTATTTCATCTATCAATAATTCCGTATTAAAAGCTTCGGTTTCCATTTCGGACGATTTCAGAACGCACTGGTACTGATGAACCCTAAAATACGTCTATCCACATCGAAAGCGCGCGCTCAACTGAACGGAAACACAGAAAACCAATGATCTCAAAGCGCGCGTTGACGCGCGCTGACAACAGTCGAGCGCTACGCAGCGTTCAACGCGCGCTTTATTAAAACGTGCGTCAGCATGTGTACGGCTTGAATAAAATGTATGTAGTTGTAAACGCGCGTTGAGCGCTTGTCATCTGAACGTGCCCTTAAAGGACGGAGGCGCCTATATGGAAAAATAGTATGTGCTGGATTTCCCAAACTTTTTTAACATACTTCCATAAAAATACATTTCGACCGGCTGTCAGATTGGTGAAGCTCGAGTTTAATACGGATCCTATACAATAATGAATTGTTTAAGATCTGAGGGCCGCTACGTAAATTTGATTTTAAGCTAATAAAATATAAAATGAAGCTTTTTGAATATTAATATTTGTATAGCGCTTAAATCTCTTTATGGATAAGATGGTGTAATTAAATTATACTAACTAACCGGTGTTGCTATGTGTTGGACTTTGGACGATAGTCTTGTTCTTTAGAACACTATGACTTTATCATAGGTAGTAAATTTGAGGACAGGTTAACATGTGTTGAAGTAAGATCCCAGGTTGCTGGGATCTCCTTACAGGCATTCAGCCCACCCCCCAAAAAAAATTATATCCGCAAGGTGGCAGTACAATGACGAAATTCATGATTAAATCGAACGGCTGGCCCACTGGGCTCTGAAGACGCCGTGTGATTACACAACGTTGCCAGAACGGCGCACCGGCCTAGTCATCCTGCCGGCGCCAGGCTATATGGGATTTTGGTAAATTGTCACCCTTTCATACAACTACCCGTCAACTTTGACAGCCTGTCAGTTCGCCAGTCTTGGAAATGTTATATTCAAGAATAAAGCACTAGTAAGAATGAGGTAGCACCTGACCTTTCAGTCCATTTAAAAAATGTTCCAAAATTATTGCACCCATGAATTTCAGCTAGCAAACGTGACCCGTTCAAACAAAAAGTAGAGGGACCATTGAAAAGCACTGTATGTATATAAGCTACTTTGAAAAAATAGACATCATATGTAGTATAAGTTTATTCACATATATACAGTTCCAGTGGACCCAACAATCCAAATGCATTCATATAGACAAATAAACTTCAAAATCCCACTTAAGTATATATACCTGCTAGATACAGATATGAGCATCCCTACTAATATTATAAATGTGTGTATGTTTGTGTGTTTGTATGTTCCGTTTTCACGCCAAAACGGCTGAACCAATTCCGATGCATTTTGGAACAGATATAGATTAGACCTTGGAGACGAAGGGGTTGAAATGGGGGTAAATGTGACCATGTGCATCAATAAACTAATATTATTTTAGTTCGTGATATAAATATTGGTTTTTATATATATTTGGTTCATACATATAAATTAAATGAGCACTCACAAAGCAATTTTGGAAATTCCACCCCCAAGCAAGGGTTGAAGCGAGGTAACGCCCTTTGCACTGAGGAACCTAAGCTATTTCAAATAGCCCAGAAGTAGGGGGTATCTTTTGTTTATAATTTTATCTATAAAATAAACTGACATTAACAAAGGCTTCCATAAATGATATCCTCCAGTTGGGGAAGGGAGGGGGGTGAATATTTCTTATCAGCTTTTTGATTTCTTGTCACCGTTTTGATAAATTTATCTCGAGAGCTAAGACATACATATGTATATAATATATTTTCAAAGAATTTCAAAATTTCAGAATTTTAAAAATTTTTAGAATCTTCAAAATTTAAAAAATTTGTAAGATTCTCAAAATTTTACAAATTTAAAACCTCAAAATTTTCATGATTTTCGAAAGTTTAGAGATTTTCAAAATTTATCAAGCTTCAAAATCATCAAAATTCTAGAAATTTTCAAAATTTTTCCGATTTATAAAATGTTCTAAATTATTAGGATTTTCAAAATATTGAAAAATTTTAAAACCTTCAAAATCTTGATAATTTTCTAAATATTCGAAATCTACAAGATTTTCAAATTTTTCAGAATTTATGTTGAATTTTCACACTATGCAATTTTGGCATTTTAACAAAAACTAACTGCGAGAATAACGTTAGAACAAAACACCAATTGGCACGAAATACCCTTAAAACAATGAAAATAATCACAGCTACAACACTTATGTACTCAAAGAATAAATCACACGCGTGGCAACACGGTAACTAGTCAGCATGGCGAACGACGCACCTGTCTTAAATGGGGCCAATAATGTTCCGCCGAGGGAGTGGTCAGCGGGAGGCGTGGTTTTGCCAAAATATTTGTCAAATTACATCTACAACTCAAAAACCGTTTGAGCAAATGAGTTGATTTTTTCTTTGATGGCTTGTTCTTTCAGTTCTTTATGTCTTTTATCCACATACTTTCAAAAAATCGTTTTTTTTTTCAAAAGAAAAATTAAATTTTTATGCGAAAAATAAATTATATGTGGAAAATGAGCGATAAAGGACGTTCCCTTATTGATTCATAATGCAATCACTTAATTTCATGTCTTTACGATTATTTGTTTCGAAGCTGGGACTGTAAAAAAATTGGCAAAAAAAGTTGTCATTTTGACAAAAAAACATGAGATTATCATAAATCAGTCATTTTTATACACACCCTGAAATAATCAGACAAAAGTGCTCATAATACTGCTCCAAACGCACAGTTGAAAAAAAGGGACGTGCGACCTTAAGGGGACATTTTAGGTCCCAGGCAGATCCTATTACCTGAGACTAAGCTTAAGAGGGTCAATCTATTCATAGAGATACCTAAGCCGTTATAAAACGCAAGCTCAGTACCCTCGCGGTCACAACCACGGTTGAATATTCTTGTGTCTGGCGGGATGTTTGGCGCTTACAATCTGCCTGGCTAAGCAAATATAGTTTGAAAATAGTTCCTTAAACTAAACGTAAGCCGTAGTCGTTGTCGTCAACACCTAGTTATATGAGAAAACTCTACTCAATAGGAAACTTCGACAAAGTATTGCAACGTGTACTCTTGGAACGTTATTCTCAAGCTTTCGATAAACTATATCATCCTCAGGAGAAAAGTAATTCATATTGCTGCTAAATGTTCTTAAACAAGTGGATGAGAACACTCAGTAAACTGACGAAAACCGGGTCTTAAAAACTTATTTATAAAATACTCATAGCTATGTTTCAGAAACAACATAACGGATTTATTTCTTTCAAATTGATTAATTTTTCTGATTTTTACATAGGTAAAACAATTGTACGACTTTACTACCTTCTAAAGGTTTTTGGTTTAAAATAATCTATTCTATCCTCTATAAGTTTCAAGAGAAAAAAGAGTGGAATGGAAATTCTACAAGACGCAACAGAACCCAGTTTTTCATGACTCGGCGGAGGTGTCGATTTGATACAACTAGAAGTGGTACTGGGAATTCATGATAAAATTATGATCCAGCATAAATTGCTGATGGTTGCTATATTGGAGGGAAGTCTTGAACTTTACCAGCGAAAAGTAAAATAAGTAAACTACACACAGGTACATTAAAAAGATACACTTACCTTATCATGTATTTTGCCAACGAAGACACTCGAGAAACTATAAAAAACTGTAATAATAATTATGCCGCCACTATAAAAAATATGCTACCACAATGTGCCGTAACAAGCTAAAAGTGTGGTAAAGAAAGCCGCGTCCATCGTACCAAACTGCCAACTGGATAAATATAATGCCAACTATAAAGACATAGTAGGGGAGACTGTTCTAAAATGACATAACCAAACTCTTTCAACCAAAAAGGCCAACAAAAAAATTAAATAAATACACATAATTTTAGCATCTATTGTAATGGAATGTTTAATATGGGATAGCAGTTTTTATTGCTATATAAAAATACCTATTTAGAAAAATATCCTGTTTATTCAAAAAAAAAATCACTTTTTAAATACAATGTCTGATAAAATGACATACCCTATATCGATAAAATGACATAGGTACCTACCCAAAATAAAGAAACGGAACATAAAAGCTATTTTAAAGTTAAAAACTGTCTCAATAATGAGTGAAAACTTTGTTAAAGAAAATAAGAGTAATTTAGCATAACGTGGCATAATGTTTGATATATTAACTTTGACATATATCACGTAATAACTGCTTGGCTCGTTTGCTTATACCGGCACATTCTATGTGGCTCCACTTTTTGCAGCTCTGACATCTAATCCAACCTACTCCAGATTTTGAAAAACTATACAACTCATTGCAATATATACATGAAGCATCATGTTCTTCCATTTCTGGTAAAACATCGCCGTCTTCTTCACTTCGAACAATTTTTCTCGTAATCCTTTTTCTTTCTGACTTTCCTCTTTCTAACTCAATTTTATTTTCGTACCTCGCTTTAATTTCTTCCATTTGTGGAGTGCTCCTTAACTCGCCAGACTCCTGCGTTCTTCTCTTTCTTTTCGCTTCTGTGGATGCTTTTTGTTTTGGAGGTGGAAAAAGCTCTGACAGTGAAATTGCTATTCTCTGGTCCTCATCACATTTGTTTGGGCTTTTTTGGTTAGATAAACATGCAACTTGATTGCTTTTTTTTATTCATGCATGGGCTTTGTGGTTGTAATGATTGGGCTTTTTTGGATAGACGGACCTGCACATTGATCGGTATCTGCCGTTACGTGAGGATGGTCAGTAACCGAGCTGAGCATAAACAGATAGTCTGGAAAAATATCTAAGTTGAATGGAAATATTCCAGTTTTAGCAATGCCAGAACACGCTATTGCAGTTGTTGCTACCTTTCCATAAGCTACAGAAAAAATCTTTCCTATCTGAAATGGGCCTACTACATGACCAGGATTTGCTTTTAACCATCTGTCAACTTCCTGGTTGTAATAAGTATCTAACGGGCCAAAAAATGTAACATCTAATGGTTGAATTCGATGGGTGCAGTGGGGAGGCAAACACATTAAAACCATGCCATTATCTTTACCATATTTTAGGGCTGGATAATATTTGTGGCTGCTGTGGCCATCTAAAATCCACAAAACCGGATTTTCCTATGAAGCACGAGAGTATTTTGCAAAGTGCTTCAGCCAAAGTAAGAATAGTTCGCCGGTCATCCACCCAGACTCTTGACACAGAAGTAATGTTCCTACAGATGCATCATCCACGAGTTCTGTCTTACGTTTCTTTCTGGCAAAAAGATCCTGCTGCATTCAAACAACACACTGTTGAATGAGTACCACGTTCGGCGCTGGTTATGCATCCCACCTGTTTTTTGCCATTAGTAGCAAATATCTTGGAAGGTTTCTGGACTGTTGAGAGGGCAGATTCGTCAACATTGTATATGTTGTTGGGTCCAAAATATATTTATTATGAGTTACTCTAGACGTAGAAAAAATCTAGAGACTTAAGGTTTGTTGACGCCCTGTGCCCTCGCTGCAGATATAGATTTCGGCTTTCTTAAACTAACTTCTGGATGACGCATACGAAATCCACTAAGCCACTCAAATCCTGCCATTTTTTCGTCTTTGCAAAACCGATGAGGTAAGTGTATTGGCTTCTGCGAACTCATAAGCCACTTTCCTTAACTCGGTTACTGTAAGTCCAAACAAACATACTTTCCAGCAACTTGATATGTTCAACAAGTTCGTTTTACATTTCTCTTGAAAAAGTTGTAGAAAAACGTCCAAGGCCTTTTTCAACACCTCTTACTTTTTTGTTTTTATTCTGATGTCGCCTTCTTAAAGTGGGTTGTGGAACATTAAACTGTTTGGAAGCTGACAGCTCACCGCTCTGTACTGCCTCGATAGCTAATCTCATAGAATCTTCACTCCAGGATTGCCTATTGCTCTTCCTTTTGTGTTTTCCCATCATATGAAATAAAGAAGAAAAACCTAAAAATTTGGGACACTGGTTTGTTGTGATGACAAATTAGTTATTTAGAACAGCTGCTAACAAAATTAGGATCGCCCTGATAATACAAAGAAAGAAACTAAGTATACACCTAGATACAAATTACTGGGATAAAATGGCAAACCTATGTCGTTTTATAATGAGTGCTAATATGTCATTTTAAACGACACACTTTTTAAAAACATGGTGAAAAAAAATATACTTACATTTTATTGAAAAACTACCCACTGGAAAAATAATATATTCTCTAGAGATCGGCACCGTCAAATAGTTCCACCAAAAACGCGTGGTTTTGATTTAATTTTCAACACTTATAGGCGGCTTAAAAAACGGAAGCAGTGGAAATGCACAAACACAAATCTCAGATGTAACTAAGCAAATACGGACATGAGACATTAGGTTAATGAGCTGCAAGTTACACCATTGTTTCATAGATGGTGCCAGTAGTCTGTAAAGGTGCGTTCAATAATGAAATGCCGCCTATGTCATTTTATCAGACTATGTCATTTTAGGACAGTCTCCCCTATCTAATAACTAATCTAAATTAATCGCTAGTAGTAATACATATGTACTGAATTTCTCTCCACTTAATAACGCGGTTATCTATTTCTTTGTATCACTAATGGTCTGGTTCAGTTTAGCGAAACTGTAAAAGTTTTCTCTTGTCATTTCATGGATTGTGAACTTTCTAGATGACTCTTGAATAACGTTTCCAGTGCCACGGGAAAAAGACTTGCGGATTTTTTCGTTTAGCTTTTTCAATAATACCAAAATCCTGGTCACACTCCATGAAAGTGTACCCTGGTTCTAAAAATGTATGATGGATTTCCTGAATTTTTGTTGCTTTACTAAAAGCTTAAATAATTTTTTGATATGTTTGTTTTTGTTTTGCCCATCACAGGAATCGCTGTAATCTTAGTTATGTTTTCAGGCAGGACATTAATAAAATGAGTCAGACATGAGACGATTTCTTGCGAACCTCTAGATGCAAGTGTTTCATCCCACAAATACATGTCTGACTTACCGGTTAACAGATTATGTACACAGAAGTTATATGTCCAGAGTTGTCTAAGATAAAACACTTTCGAAGTGGTGATGAGTGGAGTAGGTAATGCTTGCTGTATGTCAAAGCAAATCACATACAGTACAACCTCGTTAATCCGAATAGATTCGGACCACCGAGCATTCGGATTATCAAATTTTCGGATTATCGTGAAACTAGTGAAAATAATAAATTTAGACACAAGTATTAAAAAATAAACTTTATTCTTTTCAAAAAAAAAAAAAATTAACAAACCAAGGACAGTGGTCAGTTAAATACTGCACGTAAAACAAAATTAAACTTTCTCCTTCAAAAAAACTTAAATTAACATTCATATGTATTTATATGAGTACAGTACATACATAATTATGTATACATAAATCTATTGGGTAAAGAAATCAGTTATTACAGTTTGCTTATGCGCCTTAAAGCGTAAATTCACTGCTTTTTCCTGTAACTGGCGAAGAATTAGCAGTTCTGGACCGCTTACACTGTTCTCTGTCGCCCACTCTATGCAAGTAGTAAAACATCGCACGGCTTCACCGTGACTCACAACTGCTAAATTTTCATAATCTTCAGCGTCTTCAGGGGTGTCATCGTTGTTGCCGCTTAATGCAATGTTTACCAAATCTTCATCAGAAAATGTTATTTGCTCATTTTCAGCTGCGTCGCCCAAGGCCCATGTTCTAACTTCATTCGCTGCAAGATCCGGTCCTGATGAGATGACATTCATCAGAACCGTCATTTCTTCAAATTCTCGCTCATCTGATATCGCTCTTCTCCTTAGTTCTGCTAATGGCATCAAGTCTTCTTCGTCATCGTATTCATCGCCCAAATTTTCATGGATATTTAAAGGCCAAAGCTTTTTCCATGATTTTTTTATTAATTCAGTGCTGACGTTCTCCCACGACGTGTGGAGATTAAAAATTGCATTTTTTAAATTGAAACTTTTTAATGCTTCTGCAGGTTCGGTATCATCAGCAATTAAATGAAGAAGAAGCTGCTTCCTGTAGTGCATTTTAATAGCTTGAATGACATGTTAATCCATCGGCTGCAACAATGGGGTACAATTTGGTGGCAAATATAAGACACAGACTAGACCATCTCTGCTCCGCAGTTATTTTTGTTCGGGATGGCTAGGTGCATTGTCCAGCAGCAAAAGAGCACGAGGAGGTAAACCGATTTGCTTTAAATGAGCTTGCACTGAGGGAACGAACTCTTCATGGAACCATTGCTTGAAAAGTTCTTGATTCATCCAAGCAGATCTCTGATCTTTGTAAATCACGGGCAACTTATTTCGACAGTTTTTAAATACTCTAAGATTGGCAGCTTTTCCAATTGTGAACAGCTTTAATTTGTGAGATCCGGATGCATTTGCACATGGCATGAAAGTAAGCCGATCCTTGCTTATCTTTCGTCCCGGAGCTGAGTCTTCGTCTTTATGTACTAATGTCTTATTGGGTAGCGCCCGCCAAAATAGCCCACTTTCATCGGCATTATACACTTGTTCCGGACCCAAATTCATTTCCCGCACTTTATTTAGAAATATTTTTTGAAATGGATCAACTGCTGCAAAATTGCTCGAAAGTTTTTCTCCCGTAACGGTTAACTGACGAATTTTAAACCGCTTTTTAAAATTATCCAACCAACCAGAACTTGCCGCAAAGTCGTCCCGTCCCGTAATTTCTTCGTAAAAAAATTTCGCCTTTTCTTGCAGGATTTCGCCCGAAATGTTCACATTTTTGGTCCTCTGCTGCAGGAACCACGTGTACAACGCCGTCTCTACATTGGGGTGCTTGGCCGTCTTCAAAGTCAGATGTGTTGTTTGTTGTTGATGAGAATTCATGTATTCAGCAATTTGGGTCTTCTGTTTCTTTATATCTGTGATGGTTGACCTCCCAACTCCATATTCTGCGACGAGCTGCACTGGACTTCGTCCGTTGTCTAATTTCTGAATTATCTCATATTTCTGCGCAAGGCTAAGTGTCTTGTGTTTCCTCTTAGACATGGTGCACGAATTATAACTATATTTCAAACGCGTATTAACTCTAGGCACTAAGAACGCACCGCACTCGAAACTAACAGCCTATGTACTGAGAAGTTCGACAGTTCGATTGTCGAGGAACGAAATTATTTCGGACTATCGCGATTTCGGATTAGCATGTATTCGGATTATCGAGGTTGTACTGTATGTATCAGTAGAATCTTTGTTAAATAGAACATCTGACTTTTTGGAAGCCAGTACCTTTTCTTCCTTTTTATGAGGAACCGTCTGCTTTACTGTTGTTTCCGTGATCTTATTTTCACCTTGAGAATGTTTAATAATATTTGCATAGTTGTCACATTTACTGCAAGTATCGGAATTAGGTCGATGAAACCAAAGATTAAATTCCGTATTAAACATATACCTGTAATATGATTCTTTGACAGGCGTAGAGTTTTTTCTTTGCAGTATTTGATATACAAACTAAATATTTTCTGGAATAGTGGGATGTGTACTTAGGGACCATTTTTATGTGTTCAATCACTGACTCTAGACGTGCAGATTCCATTATCCTACCAGAGTCATTACCTCTTTGGTCTTTGGCGCATATACTAACTGCACTTTGCACAGACCGTCGTGAACTCGTTTATTAACTAGGGTTATTTCCGTGCTAAATTTTTACCGTTGTTTGTATCTCTTCCCCTCTGTACGCCTTTTTTCTATATAGAGTAGAATGGGGTATTATGGCAACTTGTTTTTTATTGGACCATAAATCTGTAATGTCTCCATTCAGCCTTGCAATCGAACGGGCTAGACGGTCCTTAAAGTATGAGGTATGGTTAACTAAGTCAGTTTTTGTGCTGGTTTGACCGTAGTTCCAATAGGAAACAAAATTCTCGAATAATGACAAATTGCCATATTCCCCCAGCATCAGGGTAATATGGCATAGGACATTGGGAAATATGGCAACATGCGATTTGCATAAGGATTCATTTAATTTATGACAAAAAACATAAACAAACATATTTTTTAAGAAATGTTGTTCAACATATCAAAATATAAGTAAACCTAATCAGAATCCAAAGTTAATCTAAAATAAGTTCAAATATGTCAAATAAGAAATACAAAGAAACTTGAACTAGAATGAAAAACAAACATTCAATTTTTCCATTTCATATCGTTTGCCAGCTGTTGAAGTGGGATACAATCCTTGCAGTATAAGTCAGATCTTGTGCAGATCTCATGGATCCAGTCTGAACACCTCGTGCATTGTATCCAATCGCATTTGGGACCCTTTTTGTCGAAATAATATCCACCGCATTCTGCACAAATTTCAGAACGGTCTACTTCTATTTCTGATTCACCACTTTCCTGTGTAACTACTTCCGTTTCGCTTTCGGACGAACTAGAATCAAATCGGGCTCTTCTACGACTTTTTTCTTTGGCAAGCTTTTTGTTACTTCCTGCCTTTTCCTTAGTATTGCTACTGTGTTTCTCATCCGTTTTTTTCATCCGTTGCTGGGATTTCATCAGTTTCGCAGATCTTTTTTTTTCTTTGGCCTCTTTTTTCTCTCGTTTTGCTGCTACTACCTCTGGTGATGTTAGTACCTCTGCATGCTGTTTTCGCTTCTGGCACCCACTCGTTCCTGGTATGCACGGAACCGCTGAAATAGCTTCAAATGGATTTTGATCTGGATCAGCTGTCTTTGGAGAACGCCCGTTGTTTTGGTTGTTGGCATCAATAATGACATGAGCAGTGGCTTCCCCAATATTTTCATCCGGTGAATTCTCATTTCTAAGAGCAGCATTTGCAGTTTTTTTGCAGATAAAAGCATATTCTGGGATTTTGGATTTATCAAAAGGAAAAATACCACATGTCCTAAATCCTGATACTGCATTTTGAACTGAGGCAGCTTTACACCATGCAGTATTGAGGAGTGACGGAAACTGCAATCTGGAGAGTTTGCGACCGGGATTGTTTTGTACCCATTTCTTACATGCTTCATTCCAATAAACCTTAAGAGGCTTGAAGAATGATCTATCTAATGGCTGCAGCCAATGAGTAGTGTGGCTAGGTAGGCACAACAGAATTATGTCATTGGCTGTTGCCAGGTCTAGTATTTCCACATCAGAGCAATGAGAGGAATTACCGTCAAGAACGAGGAGTACTTTGCCTTGTTCTTTACGTGGAATAAAGTGATGAAGAAGCCATGCTTTGAAAATATCCGTAGTTACATACGCCCATTTTTCACTCATTACAACTGTACCACCTGGTGGCAATCCGTCTTCAAATTCTTTTTTCTTGTTTTTTCCCTTCATAATGCAGTAGGGTGGAAGGAAATGACCTTCTGCATTCACGCAGGCTATAACTGACACAGTCTCACCTTTCTCTGCACTTGTTACACAATTTACCATTTTGGAACCTCTGGTAGCAATTACATTTCCTGGGTTGTTATTTAGCTGAACCCCAGTTTCATCTACATTGAAAATTTTTCTGGGAGCGGATATTAGGTTATTTTCTGTTAAAAGGTTCCCGAGCAGGTCAAAGTAATGATCGCATTCTTCTTTGTTCATACCTTGAGCTCGAGCCGTTGACATTCCCTGAGCTTTTCGAATGGATAAATTTGGATGTCTCTTCATAAAAGAGCAGAACTAGTCATGGCCAGCTTCTTTTTTCTCCGGATTAAAATTATATTCTATGTTATTACAGATGGCAAAAGAGTACGCAATCTTTTTTACGTCTACAGGTGTTAACGCAAAACCCATCTTCTCCATTTTTTTGATATAATCTACCAACCTTCGTTCATGTTCTGGACTTAGATAACTCTTACGCCCTAACTTGACCTTGTTTGCGTTTCCTGATTGGATCCTCCTCATTAAGGTCCTAACAGGCACAGCTTATTTGCCTTATTGAACCACGACCACATCTAACATCCGAGATTGCATTTATCAGATCTTCTGCCGACCACATGGCCCTCACATTTCTCTTGGTGTAATTTCGTGGCATCTTCTTTACTCTGAAATTTTAAAATGGTAAATGATACATACTGGGATAATATGCCGCATTTTGGGGTAATATGGCAGTATTATGGCATATTACCCCAAAGCGTATCTTCCAGATTTAGCAAATCATAAACTCATGTCTAGTGAAATCTGGTTATCCTACGTGGCATAAAAAGTTAGGTTATGTACCGCAGATTCCATGGTCCCTACTGGAAATAGCATCAAAATACTTACAACTGCATTCACATCGGCAAAAATCTTATTAAAAAATAATTTGAGCAATGTACTTACCTTGTATTTACGTATTTTTTCCTAAATACTGTTAAATACTCCTCTTTGAATATTTTCCGCGATGAAAACAGCAAATCAACGTGCACTTGACACCTACCTGGACGCCCCCTCGCGATTTACAACGGAAATATTGAACTGCGGCGTATTACCCATGGTGCCATATTACCCCACTTTACTCTACATGGAGGAAGGAAAGAATTTTGTAGGTCATAGGAACTTAAAGCATAAAACTTTTCGAATATTTCTTGTCTTCTTGCCTCTGAAATGTTTTTGGTGCAGTTCTATCGACAAGAATGATCATATGGTTTCACACTGCGCTGTGCATTTTGCTTATTTTTGCCAGTGTATGTTTTTCCTGAAGTTCGCAGTAGCTTCTTTTTGTTGATTTTTCATTCACTTTTATTACGCTCCCTTTTCCTAGTTTTTAACGGCACTTGGGTGTTATCTTCTGTAGCCTTTTCGCTTCCTCCATTCTCGTCATCGGCATCACTAAAGCTGTCATAACTTTCGGGTTCAGGTATATAATCATGCCCCTCATCGGTTTCATATGGATCAGACAGATAGCCGGAATCTGAAAATGAAAAACATATTTCAGATTACCGTAAAATAGGGTGAAAAAGTGCCACTTTTTGAGGTTTTTCTATAATTCTAAAAAAATTATCAAATGTATTTCTAATTACATGGAAGGAATAAAATATGGAATACTTCCTGCTTGTATTACAGTATAAAAAAATCTTTCATATTGCTTCTGAATTGGCAAAAAAAAATGTTTTTCTGGCACATACAGTATGTGCCACAACAGTTTTCAATGCATATCTTATAGAATAAGCGACGTGGCACATTCTCAGCATAATATTTTAAAAGAATAAATATAAAAATTGAATCAGTTACGTGCTAAATCATTAAAAAAACTTTATTTTGTCAAATTTAAGTAACATACTGTTTTACTCTGTTTTATAATAATAGTATCTAATTAAGATAATTCAGGAACTTTAAATATTTCCCTCTTTGATATTTGAGACCGTTGATTAATTTTCTTTTTAATATCCTCATAACAGTACCAAATGGAATCTGGTTTAAGAGGCCACTTCCAGTTTCCACCACATTTTTCCATTGCCGAAATTAAAGCTGTATTATCTGCAACTTCTTTTACTTGACCTGGATAGAGTTGGTTTTCGTACATAACTAGTACATAGTCACCTTGATTTACTTCATCTTTTTGCACGTTTGTTTCATTTGTTTGAATGGGTTCCATAATTGTATCTGATTCGTCACTTAAATAAGGCGAATAAGCGCTTTGATCACTTTCTGCATATGAAACATGTCCTGTGCTTTCATCATCACTATCTGATGGGTTACTATGCTTCCTAAATCGTCGAGAAGGATTATATTGCTCACGTGTCTGCCCTGATGAAGTTGAAGGTTGTTCCAAGTCCATTGGTGTGTTACTATTATTTTGCGAATTGACATCAAAAGCCGTGACACTTTTCCCGGAGGAACGTTAATTTTTCTTCTTTTCTTGTAGAAGTTATGATCTATCTTTTTAAATTCAGGTTTTCAATAAAGGTTTCACTAAGTAGGGCTTTTACTTCAGGTAAGCCTTCAATATTGTAACACTTCATGTCGATTTAAACGAGCAATACCGCATTTACGAAAGCCAGCCTTGAGGTTTTTAGCACAATTTTCTTTTAAAATCCGTAGGAGTTGTTTCAAAAGACCCGGAAATTCATCTTTAGGCACTGTCATGCATCGAATATTTCGAACATTTTCTTTCCATTCATTTAAAACCTTTCGCCATGCAAACTTAACAGGCCTAAAGAATGCTACATCTAAAGGCTGCAGGAGGTGGGTAGCATTGGGTGGCAAACAAATAAAGGAAATGTTATGTTCATGGCAAAGATCGATCACTTTAGCATTTATATGTGAACTTAAGTTATCGCCCAAAATAATTTTCTTACCTGGTTGTTTTCTTAAAATGGGGAGCATTAATGTTACAAACCAGTCTTCAAAACATTGAAAATCAAACCACCCTGATCTTGTGCGATTGTAGCGTATCTTCTCAGGGCCATTCTCGCTCCAATTTTCCCGCATCTTTTCAGCTTTATAAACAACATAAACAGGTGCGAGTTCACCACTCGCGCTTCCACACATCATTATTGATGTATTCGATTTTTGATGAATTCTTTATATTTACAGAGTAGTTGCATCCTCTTTTAACAAGGACCTTAGACATGCCTGGATCATCCACTAAACATGTCTTGTCATAGTTCCAGATATTCGATGCAGGAACATTTTCAATTTCTCTTTCCAGGTGGTCAAAAAAGTCATTTATCACATCTTCATTAATAGAAGCTCGACTGTAGGTAATATTTCTGGCAGCACGATTAGAAATTTGTTGTGCATGCCTTTTTAAAAGACAATTTGCCCATTCAGTACCGGGCAAGTTATTCTTAAATTTCTCAACTGTTCTGCCTTGCTTATCTAAAAGACTCTTAACAATGAATCGCAAATCTCGTTTGTTCACGGGAAATCCATAACTAGATAAAGTGAGGATGTGGACCACGATAACTGATTCCTCATCTTCAGTCAAGACAGTCTGTCCTCCAGTCTTTTTGGTAGCTTTGCCCTTTAATTTGTTAGTTAGTACGTTTCGGTGAATGCCATACTTCTTAGCTGCTCCACGAACAGAAATTCTTTTCGCTCTAATTTCATCTAAAATTCGTGCCAGTGTTTCTGGACGATAGTTTTGGTAATGCCTAGTTCCTAATTTTCTTACATATTGACGCGGCATTCTGAAAAAAAATATATATTTTGTGGAATCTGCTAAATCTGGTCTTCATAATGTGGGGTGAGAATGTGCCACTCGATGGCACAATCTCACCCCAGATATTTGCATTATAACCTAATTTTTTTTGTAAATCAAAAAAACAAATTAAATAACTAATTATCTTAACACATTGACTGTCCAATGAGCCACATATGGCTCATGGACCACATTCTCCATGCGTCCATGAGCCTTATGTGGTACATAAATTCATACAACTTTTATAAGTTGGACGTGGTAGTAGGCACACATTTTTTGTATGTGGATGTAAGAGTATTTCTTACTCGACACTTTAAAAAAAATATTAAAATACATATATCTAATGGTTTTCTCCAAAGCAGGGCACGCAAAATGCTTGATTGCAGGATTTGCAGATAGTGTTGACCCTCTTAGCTTTTTTGCAGATTTTGATGCCGAATAGTTTCCGCGCAGTTTCCCCATAGCATCCGTGACAACGCTTTCTGTAGAGTTTGTTATTATCTCTAGGCCTCTAGGCAGTTCTTCCAGTATGTGAATAGTTTTTTTGGTCTTGCCTCCAGAACCGCCATCGTTATTAGATTTTCTTTTTAAACTCTCGCTTATTATCTCATTTGCAAAAGAGATAGTTGTTCTTTTTTTGGACGTTGTGCATTATATTTAATCAGAGTGTTTACAACGAGTGTTCCACAAATAATCTCTATGGCGAGTTTTGTATACCATGTCAATGACTTTCTCAGACAAGTGTAGTAGCTGACAAACTGATCAGATATTTCAACCCCTTGTTTTCCATTATTGTAGTCCAAAATGGCAGAAGGTTTAATCTTATCTTCGCCATTTCTTTTTTTTCCACAAGTTCATGAACAGTTGAGAGAAAAAGAAAGTCACGCTGATCTTTCCATTTTGAAACAGTAATATAGCCATTTTGTCTTGAGATTATTTCGCCCTTGCGTAATTAGTGTATAATTACTTCTTCTGGCAGACGACGCCTATTTTTGCGTAATGTTCCCAATAGGTGGGTGTTTTGATCATACATATATTTTGCAAGTTGCAGGCTAGTGTAGTACAGTAGAACCCCGATTATCCGTGCTCCACGGGATCGAAGGTGGCACGGATAATTGAAAAGCACGGATAATCCGAACATTTATTTCATATATACCTACCATAAAAAGATAACAGAAAAAATGAATCCCATAAGTTCAAACTAACTTTTATATTGTATAAACACAAAAAAAAAACAGATTTCTACATAAATATTCCTTTACACTAAATACATACATAATAAAAATAAAAAAAATCAATAGGTAGGTTACCTTGCAATTACTTAAAGCGAATTGTATTTATTTTAAGTACATAATTATGTTTTTGACTAAAAGTCAGTCACTTTGGTCTGTGTCAAAAGTCTTCGATTATTTTTAATCATCTGACGTATTTTGCACAAGTTCAAAATGTCTACAAGGTCCGAAGATTCTTGTTGCGCCAAATAGTCTAGTAGAACGTTGGCAGCTTCCTCAGCCTCCTGGTTAGTTACTCTTTTGATTGATACCGTTCCATCATTCTCTTTTTCTTGACTCTCATTTTCGGATGAATCAGATTGTGACGTACTGGGCTGATTCAAAACTTGTTCGACAATACCATCGTTGCTGAGGATCTGATAACCTGGCTCATGTTTGTCACGCGGTGTCCACCTCTCAACCTCGGTGTCATCAATGTCTTTAAATTCATCGGCGTTGCGCACTAATGCAGCTAGTTCAGCTATAGTAGTTTCTTCTTCGTCTTCGGACTCCATGATGCTTTCATCTTCCTCTAGCGTCATTATTTTATAAAAAGCTCTTTTGAAAGTCATTTCTTTCACTCCACTCCATGCGTTTGCTACTGTAAAATTGCGTCTTTGATCGTGAACGATTTCCAAAACTTCATCAGATGAACTCCATCCAACAAGTTCATCATAAGTTCTCTTCGGTAGAGCCGTTTCATTGTTTCAATAACACCCTGATCCATTGGTTGACCGATTGATGTAACATTGGGTGAAAAAAAAGAACAAGAACTAAGTCAAACAAATAAAAACTAAGAAACTGTTTTTTCAGCGTGTTAACAAAAACTGACCTTTCGTTCTTATCAAAAACAAACAAGAACTCAAACTTAAATCTAAGTAAATTTAACGACAAAAGTCACATACGTAATCGTCTTTTTCAGCCCCTGAATATTGTTCATGTTCCCATAGGTTGCACATAATGCAACGAACCCAAAGCTCTCCTAACTGGTCTTCAGAAAAACGCTCATCACAAAATAGGCAAACGGCGTCTTTATCATCACACACAGACTGTCCTATTCCATCAACATCCACGTGATCATCGGTACAAAGGCTTGCTCTTCAGTGTCAGATTCATCATGAGATTTCTCTTTTTCAGTAATTTCGGAAAAAACTTTTCTCTTTACCAGTGCTTTAGCCTTTTTTGGTGTTTTAACGAGTGGTACTTCTAATTCGGATTTGTATGGAGAAGAGGTGATAATTTGAGATTTTTATGGTTTTCTTCTTCGGCTATCTGCTTTCTTTTTTATAATGGGTAGGGTAAGAGCGCGTAAGAGTACGCACTTAACTTTTGACAGGAGACAGAAACGTCAAATACAGTTTTATTTTTTTATTCGAAATAAATATCAGTTGCTTGGCGCTTCAAGCATCAGAAAACAACAAAACACATTTTTCTTCGTATTAACAAAAAAGATACAACTATTTAAACAAAAAAACGCATATGCGTACTCTTGCGAACACTGGATTTAAAGAGTACGCAGTGGTGGTGGTAAGAGTACGCACGATGGATATTTTGGTTAGGTACAAAAATCGCATACAAATTCACCAGATCCCGAATATTCGCTACAGTCCTCATGCCACCAGGTACTACAAGAACCACATCTGATCCACTCTGAAGTGCTGTAATGTTCGCTGCACAAGGGACAGGCAACATCATCTACAGAACCGCTAAGTTTTTTAGAAGCCGGTAATTTTTGCTCTATATTTTCTTTGGGGCGATCCTCTGGTGCTTTCCTTTTTTTGCCGAAGACATTCTTCTTTACACTATTTTGTTGTGACTCCAGTTTTTCTGTCAATATATCTTTGTATGGTGTGGAGGTTAATATCTCTGATTTTTTAGAATTTTTGCGCCTAACCTGTGCGTGCTTTGCCTTAGGGAACGAGATAATATCGGATGGCTTTACACTTGTCGAATTCAGTATACTGTCATTTTGATCTGTTGTACTGTGTGGTATTTCTTCGTTTTTGTCATTGTTATGCTTGGAAATAGCATTTTTTTCTGGGGTTTTGTTGTTCATTTCTACTTTTTTTCTGTATTTTTTTCCTCTCGCAAAATCTGGCTAACGGAATATCGTCCTCTTCGTCCACTGACACTTGTCTGTTAGTTTGGTTGCTAGTTCTAGGCTCCAGAATTGGTGGACCCTGATCCGCAATTCCTAGTTCTGGATCCATATGATTAGGATCAATGTCAGTCACACCCGCTGGAGCGAAATCATCATCATTAAAAACATCTGGATTATAAGGGTATAAACCAGTGGCTTCAAAAGCCTTTTGGCATATGGATACCGTTGCAACCCTTGAATACGCTTGTCCAAAGAGCATAGCTAGCCATTTGTTTTTGGGTAATCGGCTTGCCAGGATTTGTGGTCATATATTTGTCGCATTCGGATGAAAAAGCAGTTTTGAACGGCGCAAAAAACCTTTATCAAGCGGCTGTAGCTTATGGCTTGCGTGCGGTGGTAGAGTGAGCAAGATTATAAAATGTTCTCTACAATATGAGATTAACGGCAGTGAACAATGAGACACATGATTGTCCATACTAAGTAATACCGGGTCGTCTTTGGTGGGCTTTACATGGTTACAAAAATGTTTTATCCACTCCAAGAATAACTCCGTATTCATATAACCGGTGTCAGAAATCAGTTTCAAGGTACCCAGTAGTGCCCCAAAGAACAACTCTTCTCTCATCCGTTTTCTCGGGAAAATTAGGCCAGGCGGAACCCATATCCCAGAAGCACCTATGCAGCAAACTGCTGCCCACGTTCTGCCGCCACGATCTTTGAGACACACTTCTTTCCTCTTTGTGAATATATTTTAGGCAACCTGTTTGGCACTGTTGATAAGCCTGACTCGTCCATGTTGAATAAACGGTGAGGTTTTCTTGTTATATTTCTCATAACAAGCTTTTAAGTTGTTAAAAAATTTGCCATTACTTGTTTTCTTCCCAGGCCATAAAACCTTATTTCAAGATCTTTAATGTGTGCAGCTAATTCCCTCTCTTGAGCATGTGTGAAGACGGGTTGAAACCGGCCTAGTGACGTCGGAACTGTTCCCTAAAACATTTTTTTTTTATTAAGTAGTTGTAACATTTTTTTTGTTAAATTAATGTACGTATATTACCATTCGAAGCCGCTTTCTTAAGCTGCATTCATTTACCCCCAAAGATGCCGCAACGGATCGTTTACTTTCTCCATTATCAATCCTTGTTTGGGCTTCCTCTAATAATTGTTGTGTAAACTTTAACTCCCGGCCAGATTTTCTTTCTTGCTTTGCCATTGTCTGTAGATCATTTATTTTTATTAGATTAATGGAAAAAATTTAAAGAGTGGTAAGAGTACGCGTTGGCCATAAAGAGTACGCGTGGCCATAAAGAGTACCCCCGTACTCTTGGGTACATGAACAAGGGGGCAAGGGCATGCATTTTCTGAAAATAGGCAACCACATTCACGTGAAGCATATTGATCATTTTATAACCTAACAAACCTCCGTTGAGGTGCATAGTCAAAATCCGGTCTTAAGCTTCAACTAGACAAACACACTACCTATTGTAAGCTCGCAAGAAGTTATAAAAAAATATGCAAATTCTTTCTTCTTACATTTTTTCCTTGTAATTTCCGCCAAACACTGCCTTATTTTGCCCAAAAACAACCTTCCTTTAGACACATCGACACTGCAGACTACACCTATCAGACGACTTTAGAACTATCCGATTCGCGCATTGCGTACTCTTACGGGCTGCGTACGCTTACGCGCCCTTACCCTACTAGTGAAATATCAAACGGCGACACAAATGGTGATGATGTTGAACTGCATGATCTACTACGTGAGGGTTCAGGTTGATTTTCTATTGTCAGTTTCTTCGAAGCTGAAGTAGATTGAATACCCGTAAAAGATCTTTTCACTATCGGCGTGTTAGCAACATCCAATGATTTTGAGCAACATGGTTGTTGTTCAACGTTCTCTTTTTGAGCATTGTTTTGCTTATTATTGCCCGTTGATTTGTCTTTCATTTCCAGTGAAGCAATGCTGCAATTTTTTTCAGCTTCTACTTCTTCTGCTATGAAATCTGCATCTGAGAATATGTGGCGATCAAAAGGATATATGCCGGTTGCCTTAAGCCCGTTTACTGCAATCTTAGCAGACTGTGATTTTAAAAAAGCTTTACCCACAGGGGCGTAGCGAACCTTGCAATTGTGGAGGGGTAATTTCACAAAAAATGCCGACTCGTAAAAAAATTTGCCGATTTTATAACTTATTTTAATACATGGTATTACACTTAATTGCAATCAAAACTGTAGTTTATACTTTATACATACAATAGAATGGACATAATAATCAAGAATTTTTAGAAAATTAAAGGAATATACATCGTCATTACGACCCCTGCAACGAAGACTATTGTAACTCAATTTTGATTGAACTGAGATATAAGCATTTGAAAATTACTTTCTAATTTCGATCGAAGAGAAATAATAATCTCTATCCGATGCATCTTGCAGATACTATCAATTCTTTTACATCAAGGGTTATGAACGATATTACAATACAAAGTTATCAAAAAAAAATATTTTTGGAAAAATTTTGAAGACTTACTATAGTTTTCGTTGGATCAATTAAGGAAAAAAACACACATACTGTAGATGTAGTAAGATATTTATTGAAATAATACAGTATGTTTTAATATTGTCAATTTGAGTCACTCAAATTATTCTCATCTCCATGTTCATCTTCACTATCATCGTTCTCAACTTGTGTATTTTCAGTATTCTGACCTCTTTGTGTTATTTCTTTAGCTTTTAGGGAAAAATATAAAGCATGGTAAGCTTCAGGGATGCTTGGAAGACTGTTTGATTTTGGTTTACATAGATCGAGTAAACAACTTAATTTTTTAGCATCTACTGGAAGCAAGCTTGTATATAGTAAAGGTAACTCCTGAGGTGAATTTTCCTTCATTCTCCTTCTTCGATTTCTCCTCAATTTTATTATACTGAGCTCATCAGCATAGTCATAATTGAATTTCATTTCATAAGGCATGTCTGAGGAGAAGTGTACCTCCCTTAATTTACTAATTTTCAGCTTTTCTCCGGAATCGTCTTTACTCCAGTTTTCCGAATTTACCTTTGACTTGAAACTAAAAAAATCCTTCTGAGACATCTCTTTCACGATGTATGGTCTTCCGGTTACTTTCGCCATGCGAATCAACATAATCCATTGATCGGGGGTATAAATTGCCGATTGCCGCTTTTTGGCATTTTCAATGACGGCGTGCATACTGTCTCCTTCGTTTTGTGTGTGACCTGTTTCTAGGAATCGATGGATTATCTGTAGATTCAGAGCCATAGAAGCATATGAAAACATCGAAAAAATGAAGCGGTTACGGTTTTGTCCACCGCAGTTGTCCGAGTAAAGAATAACTTTGTTTATCCCTTTCTCTTTTTGCTTTTTCAAAAAGTTTAAAATACAGCTGCTTATTTCGTTTGGCCCTCTCTTCGCAATTACTTCATGCCAAACGTAACAATAGCCTTCATGATTTCCCATGTCGTAAATGGTAAAGTTGTATGTGGCGAGTTTACTTTTGTAATAGAAGTCGCTTACAGCAGATTGGGGTGTCACCAGAACTTTTTGTAAGTCGAAGCACGCTGCGCTAATTGTCTTGTCATTGATTGCAGTTTCTTTATCTTCATCTTTTAAAGCTCTAGCAGCTTTCTTATTAGAAACGTGTTTTTCATACTTCTCTTGTATTTTCTGCTTATCTGGCGAAGTTGCTAGTTGATAGGCTACACAGAGACTGCATTGGTCCTTCTTTGGTTTATGGAATGCTAAATTGAACTCGGCATTGATAACTTCTCTGTATTGTCTTAAAGTTCCTACTTCTGTAGCATTTCTCTGTTCCATGTACTTTAAGTAGAGGCGATGCATAATTGAAATGTTGAGACCATCCTCTAAGTACATCTTTGTTGATTTTTTCCTGGTATAGTGGGAAGGCACCACAGGAAAGAGTTGAATGTGCTCTCTTATCCCATTTAAGACACCTCCGTCAATTTTATTTGGTCTTGTCAGGTGCTTCCCTCGACGATCTTCTTCAAGAGTGCCAGTTTCTCCAATTTTTCCTAGAGCAGTCGTCACCCACTGCTCTGATATTCCATAGGTGTTCAGGAACATAGTTTTACAAACCGTTATTTCCTTGTTGTTGACAAGAAGCTGGTATGTTCTAGAATGATTTCGTCTTGATTTGCTATCTGTCCGTTTTACGTGCTTCTTCTCCACTGTTTTGACATACCTAACTATGTAATCCCATTGTCTAGAATGATCACCTATTTTCCAAAACTCCTCGAACAATGCTTTTCTCTCTTCCTCACTTATTTTTTGACGACATTTATTTCTGCAGTTTTCTTTACATGGATTCTTTATCTGTTTGGCGGGAATAATTGTACCGTTCCGGTTTTTATGTTCGATGCCCAAGTTTAATTCCTTCTTAGCTCGAACATCAATCCACTCATTTGTATTTTTTACACGTTTTCTGCCTTTCCTTTCTTTGGGCGTTATCTTACGCTTTTTAGGTACCTGAATTCGGTTTTTGGTTTCATGAGGTATAAATGGCACAATAGATGAATCAGAATCTGTTGTTTCTTCGGGTACATAAATAGGATCAATATCCGAGTCGTCTGAGAAATTTCCTTCCGTATTCGTAATGTCATGAGGTGTATCAAGAAGTACTACTGATGGATCTGTTCGTACAAAATTAAATCCAACTTCTATAGGGTCCTCTGCAGGGTGGTTGCTGGAAGCAACAGCTGTATCAGGCAAAGGGGCTCGCACATCCTGTACATTGACTACTGCACCAGCATACGCAGATTCCGTAATAAGACAGTTATCTGCACCTACAAAAATAAATACCTGTAAGAATCTATAAGTAGGAGAGAAAAATCAATGTAGGTATAACATGATTCCAATGCATAACAGGCAAATGTGGATACTAAGCATGAACCAGAAAGAAAGAATTAATTACCCATGTTAGAAAATAATAAAATAATTACAAGACAAACTTACCTGAACCTGATGCATCATTTAGCTTCTTTGCATTTTCCAAAATGATTTTGGTCCTAGAATTCATTCTAGTTCTCTATATTTATCTATTTTCAGACAGCTACTACTTAAAACGTTTTGGGTTTAAATAATCATAACCTCGAATTATACCGCGAAGATTATAGTATGTCCAAACATAGAATGCCTACCGCGATTTTTTGCATCGAAAACTATAGTAACTCAACTTGATGTACTTTTCGCTGACAGCAATGTGAGTGATTATACTTACTATAATTCACGAAAGTTATACTGGTTGCCTATGGTTTCATAATTGAGATACTATATTCTTCCTCGAACGAGAAGCATAATATATCTATCGATACCTTATAGTAAGTCAAAAGTAAGGATTTTTGAGTTACTATAGTCTTCGTTGCAGGGGTCGATTAGAGACAGATAGAAAAGCAGAACGATACGCAGAAAAAAATGCATACATGTACTAATTTTAAATTTTTACCCTGCGGTGTTTCAAAAGAGACTATTTAATGATCATAAATTGATTTCAATTTACTAAATGGACGTTTACAGGAAGCTGCCGTTACAGGAGAAGTCAAAACAAATAGAACAAGTTTATAAGCCAATTTTTGCACGAATGAATAAGAATTTGTAACTCAGCAAGCAAACATTCAGGTTCTTCTTTAAAGAAGTCTGGTTCTGATTGTACAACGGATTCAATTGAATCAAGCGTTATATTGTTCATGTCCAGTGGAACTGCGAAAATTTTCTGAATAGGCTCGAAAGTTGACAAAATTTCATGTAAGTTATTTTCAATGCAGTGAGTGAACACTTCTAACACAATCTTGAATTCTTTACGATAAAATTTCAGAAAATCAAAATCTGTAGCTTTTTTCGGATTCTCATCATATTTTTTTCTATGATGCTTCGTGAAATCATTTTCAGGACTGATCTGCAATTTTTTCGCGAGTGCAACTGAACTGTTCCTCATCGTTCATCTGTTGAAGTGATGCTGATGTACTTTGGATTAACATCATAGCATCAATGACATTCAATTCAACAGCTTCCAAACATTCAAATTTTATAAATCTGTAAGTAGAAAAAAACATGAATGTTAAGAATGCAATTTTGAAACAGTTTATAAGTACGTTTTTATAGGCATAATGTGATACGCTGTAGGGCTGATCCTACTAAACTCAGTACATGTATTCATTGTAATTAAACCTTCAAACGGAAGTTTATATTGCATGATCATATTATTAGAAAATATCCAGATTTTATTACATCAGCCAGTAGAATGTATGAATGTACAAAATGCGTTTTTAAAACTGTACAAAAAAGTTGCTACGATCGACATACGTTAACGCATCCTGAAATTTGTTCAAGCTAATATGCTTAAACGATGTATTTACTATAACGCAATATTTAAAGCAATGAATGATCATATAGTTAAAGCACTTCATAAATGTACAGAATGATCTTATAAAGCTGTCAAGAAACGCAACTTTGATAAACTTGTCTGCGCATGTCTTTGTTTTGTAAGAAATGCAGGGTTAAATTTACTATCGTATGGTAAAAGAATGAAAGAAAAAAAGAGAAATGTGTTACTTTTCTCTACCATTCTTATATTCGAGCGATTCGAGACAAAAACTGTTACATTTTTTAATGGTTCTTGTTTAAAAGGAACTAACTATTTGCATTACTCACTATAAGCTGCCGGTTTTGAAATTATTCTACCGGAATAATAATGGTACAGAAAAAGTTCATCTTGCCTCTTTTGCTAACTCTCAAAAAGTTTTTGCAGAACCAAGTTAAATATGAGAAAACTGTCAACAAACTGTTTGTTATACTTGAAATTATATGGCTCAGCTCAGCTTAATCAATATTTGACAACAGAATGCATAACAAAAAATATGTACGTCTGTTCACAGTATCATGCAAAATTTAAAGGTGGAGTAGCATTAAGTGACTATATGATAAGAAGTTTTAAATTTTGTAAAAAGTATTAATATATTCTCTTTCCAACAATGAGTTTCTTACCGTGCTGTACAATTGTTTATAGTGCACTTCAGCATGTAGCTTGGGACAATAATGTCATTAATTTGGTTGAATGACTGTATTTGAGGGTAACAATTGCAGATGGTAAGAAACTCATTATTGGGAAGCAATGTATATAAATATTACATAAGAACGAAGCTGAATGTACGTAGTCGTGCCATAAGTTCTGTCCCATGATAATCTCATGATAAAAATGAAACAAGATAAGATATATTTATATGAAAGATATTATTTATTCGACAACATTTTTAGAATTCATAATCAAACAGTTTTATTCAAAATGTCCCCCCTTGGCCTTCACACACTGCTTCAATCTCGCGGGCCACTCATCTATCACTGCACGCACAGCTTCCAAAGGAATAGCTGCCGCTGATCGGATCAAATCCGCTTTCAGGGACTCGATATTACGGTGGGCTTTGGAGCAGGCCAACTGCTCTAGCAGGTCCCACAACTTGTAGTCTAAAGGATTGAGGTCCGGACTCCCTGAGGGCCAATCTTCCGCAGCAATGAACTCTGGCACATTGCTTTCCAGCCAGCGCTGCGTACTCTTAGCCTTGTGAGCGGGGGCGGAATCCTGCTGGTAGACCCAGTGTTGGTTGGCAAACAATGTACCACTTAAAGGCTTGACGATAGGATCCAGTATGTCGCTCTGATAGTTTGCCGCTTTTGTTTTCACGCCCTGTTTACAGAAATGGAGCTGAGTGACCCCTTCGTAGGACACCCCCCACCAAACCATGACTGACGCAGGGTGGTGGCCTCTCTCAACTCTCGGAATGATCTCCGAAGCTTCCTGTGAACTCCTTGCATACACTTTGTCATTTTGTCGGTTGAATTTTTCTTCTATGGTGAAGATTTTCTCATCCGTGAACAAAATCTTTCGGAATCCCCCAGCTGCGTACCTCTCCAAGAGCTTCTTGGATCTTGTCGCCCTGATGTGTCGCAAGGTGGCCGTAAGTCGCTGGCCCGTACGTCTCCGGTAAGCCCCTAGCCCTAGGTCTTGTTTAATGATGCGCGACATCGTCCGGACAGGAATCTTCATTTCCCTGGATAGGATCTTCTGCTTCCGGAGTGGATTCCTTTGAATCCTGGCTTTTACGGCTTTGATGGCTGCTGGAGTCCTTACTTGACGAGGTCTTCCGCTTCTTGGCCTGTCATCAACAGAGGACGTCTCATTGTACCGCTGAATGGTCCTAGACACAAATTTACGCGATATTTGAAGGCCGCGTAAGAGTTCAAAAATCTGACTAGCACTGTGATTACACTTATGTAAAGCTATCACTGCAGTACGGTTCTCTGCCTTGTCCCACTCCATCGTTATGCTTCGAGAGATCAATACAAACTGAGGTATATGTAATTACCCGAAAAGCGCTTAATCAACTGACACCACAATGTAAACAATCGGACAAGTATTAACAGGTCTACACTTGTTTGAAAACGAGGGACAGAACTTATGGCATGACTACGTACTCACGGAAAAAGACGACAGCCTGGCACGCTTTCGATCTCTTTGTTTCGTGGCTGTTGGTTTGAGTGGGGAGTGAAAAGTGAACTTGCGATGGTAGTGGACTGTTCACACAGTTACGGTTCAGTTAATTCCTTGACGCCAACAACGGAGGATCTTTTGGTTGAAAATTGTGCAATTTTGGGTTTAGCTTTTACTGCTTTGTAAGCGAAAAGTTTGATGAAGTCACGACAAGGGTTAAAGAATAGGAAAAGTGTTGCTGGTTCAGCACCACGTTATGATTACTATATGCCCCGCTCCTGCCATGCCAAGCATGTCTTCGCCTGAAAATCAAACCTCTTTGATATGGGACGTGGGCGGTCGTGAACTTGCCTCTCACCCGATGAAGTTAAACTCGTTGCACCTCGTTCCGGAGGAGGCAATTCCACGAATGCAGTGATCATGATAGCGAGCCACGCTCCGTGAGAACGTAGCATAAGAATAGTTTTTTCAGTCGCAGGAAGTGCGTTTGTGTTGTTTAAAAATATCGCTCAAAAAGCGTTTTTAATTATTTGCACAAGAAATAGCGTAGCACTATTTGCTACTAAAAATACCATAGTTTTGGATATTGTAATATGGGTGGGTAATAAAAAAAATATTGATTTTATCGGATCAACCTATGGCATATGATTATACAGTATGTAACCTAAAGAATTACACAACCAGGGCATGATAGCAAGGTTGAACCTCTATTAAACGAGCACTATAGATCAATTATTGTTAGATAGTTATACCCAACGAATTTGAATAGATTAGATGGAGCCAAGTCTATATAGTATGTTTACATCGTAATGTTTGTCGCCAAATTGCATAGTTTTAGTTGCATACTTTTAACTCATTTGTCTACCAATGTTTACCAAAGTGACAGCGTTGTATCAACATAATAATACTTACCGGAGAACTGTCAATAAAATGACTTATGTCAAGTGCACTTTGATCCTCCTTGGAGTATGAGAATAAGGAGAGAAATAAATCGTTGACTGGCCCCTTCTACCTAGTCTGAATTCTTTGGTTGTACCCTAAAGGGCTATGCAATACTCGGACCGTACGTTTTTAACTAGATGGGTATTTTAAGTACGTATTTTAATTGACGGAGTGGATAAAATAAAAATAAATGCCGATATATTTATAATAGCCAATTTGACTGTTTATGTAAAACTAGACTAACGTGTACAAAAATTGTGTGCTTAATATTTAAGCTTATATTTTATATGCGTTTAAGTTTACACATGTTAGAATTTTGTTGGTTGTGATTTTCATTTCAATAGGTATGTAAATAAAGGATTAATTCAGTAAGAGGCGTATTATATTATATCCCACACAGTGCCTCTAACATAAAAATTAAAAACTTGACTGGCGGAGGAATGGCAGATGACAACCCTATCCTTGTTCCCTTAGGGTACAGCCTAAAAGTGATTAAAAGATTAAATCTAATTTACAAATGTACAATTTATTGTTAAATAACAAAATTAATTCTTCTTTTTTCTCTTCCTGCGAATTGATTAATATTAATACTTACCATCTCCTTTGAATCCAGTGCAACAACTTTTTTGTGGTTTTGTATGTCACAGTGGCGGATTTAAGTAATGGCAAAATGGGCATTGCCGCCTGGGCCCCAGCAAAAATCAGCTCTAGTGTCTATATTGTTCAGCGCGTCTGAATGTAAAATTGATAACAAGAAATACGAGTGTTGTTATATTCTTTTAATGACCATCTGCCTAATGTTTATGAAACAGGACGTTAGCATTCAGTTTGAATAAGAAAATTTCCCTTTCATTTCTTAAGAATTTTTTGAAAAATGGCTGTTTCATATCTAAAAAAATGACCGAATGACCCTTTTATTTCTCAATTCTCAAGGAGTGGAGGGGTTATTTTTTCATTTTGTGCTTACAGGGATATATTATTCCCTGGCATATAATGTTCAGTAAATAAATATCTTTGTGGTATGAATCAGCCTCTTTTAGTCTAATAAAGACTCTAATGCGTCTATTACCGTCTTTTCATGTCTGCAATGCTTATAACCATAAACTTTCACAATACTGTGCAATTTTTTATTTGATGACATATCTATTTTCTTCGTGATAATATCGTGGAAGAAATTTTATGAATGTATTATCAATTGCATAGAAGATGAAATTTCAAGAGTGGGAGCTTCTGGTGAAGATATAATGAATGCAAGATCTCTCCTTTCCTCCATGAACTGGACCTTTTTTTCAATTTGTTATGGTGGCATTCAGTATTGAGCGGAATGAATACCGGGCAAGTTCAAATGCAAAAGAAAGAAATAGACTTGATGATGATGATGAAAAAATTAAAAGATATGAGGAGGCTAAGAATAAATGGGAAGAGATGGAACGGGAGAATCCTGGTTTTCCCATTGTCAGAAAGAGGAAAATCAAAAAAATGTCCGACGAAAAAGCTGTTGACTCGCCACTGGAAACACACGAAAAACATCGATAAATTACTACGAAGTTTTGGATTCAATGAGTAACGAATTGCAAGAACGTACTGAAGGATGTCGTGAGGTGAATGATGTGTTTGGTTTTTTGATGCCAGAGAAATTGGTCAATCTAAAAGAAAACGAAACCAGCGTCACTAATTTGATGGAAAAATATTAGGAATTTTTCACTACAGATCTAAAATATGAATTAGCCATTTTTACGAGCATGTATTTTTTGGAAAATCGTAATTTTATTAATGACATCCCGCTAGATTATTTGAAGTTCATGATTGCAAACAATTTTATCGACAGTTTTCCAGAGAGCTGCAATTTATTCAGATTGTTTTTGACTTTGCCTATCGGTTCAGCTAGTGCTGAACGTGTCATGAGCTCTTTGAAAATTATTTAAAGAACACCGTCGATTGATGTTTGATCTCACCGTCTCTACTTGATTCAGGTTATATAGACATTTAGTAAAAAAACAAAGAGGTAACAGAGCGCAGCAGCTACTATTGTGCATATAATTGTAAGCCCCTGTTAATATGTGACATCCTTATTGACAGCAAAATCTGTAGTTCGAACTTTATCTGAACAATTTAGATGGATTTTACGTAATCGAAAAATTTTAGATCCGCGTGAATATTGAAACAGTTGAATTAGCTGTTTTATTGGCACGTTGAAGCAGCATCAGATTAACTTTTTTGTATCAAATTACTATTAAAAAACCTTTTGCACTATCCATGAGCTCGTTTCGGTTACTTGTGCAGGTATTTCTAATTTTTTTATTCTCAGTTGCCGTCATTAATTTGCAAATAGCGATAAATGTGGAGAATATCACTTTCGCAAATAGTGCCCAGTATATATCCTGTAGTTAATGCACGTTATTTAACGTATTTTAGTGTTGTTCACCAAGTTTGCATTCAATGAAATATTAATCACGGCAAACATATCTAATCGATCATATTTGTTTTTTTTTTTCTTAATTATAATTTTATGCAAATTCTATAAATAGCGTGCACTCCAAATTTGACTCGTCGCCCTTCACTTATCGATAGCATCCGTAATAACTTTTAAACTCTACCTGTATTATGCACAAGAACTTCTTGTTAAGAAGTTTGCTGGTGATTAATCAAGTTTTATCTACGCATTAGTCGGTATATTTTCGGTATGAAATTCTGTAGTACGGCTTCTAATTTACTTAAAAAAATTACGATGCGCATTACAACATGTCCCGTGCCCGTGCGTACTATTGAATGCAAAAACTAGGCTGATGTACGATTGCACTAACATGACATTACGCATTAAATTTTCATATTAATTTCTGAGTTATCGTGCAACTTTCAAAGTTTCCATTGCCGTATTTTATTTGTCAATAATTGCAGTAATTTATGTTATTCGCAAAACAGTTATAGTGCGCACTATTTGCCGTCTGCCCCCCCCCCCCTCCTCCCCCCAAGGGCATATTGCCGACCGCGCCCTTTTCCTTAAATCCGCCACTGGTCCGTCAAAAAGTATTTTTTATCAAATTTGCTCACAGCTTAAGCGCACGCGAAAGTGTTTCCTACATCAAGCTGATCGCATAGGCAACCAGTCTATATCATCTATGAGCTTAGTGTTAAATCAAAGTTGACGGATGCAGTGCTGCCAGTGTTTAGTAGAAAATACCAGTACGGCATCCATTTAATGTGTGTGCATTACATATTTATCTAAGAGATTTGGAGCTTTAAAAATTGGTGATCGAACTAAATTCGCCTTGGGGGGGGGGATGGTAATGACCCCCATTTAGTTCGACCACCCCCATGCCCCCCCCCCCCCCCTGGATCGCGCCTGGAAGCATTTTGATGACTGTGGTTATGGCAGATGCTGCAAAGGGATAATGTTACCTGTGCTTGTTTCGTTGAGCTGTCTTGTGTTCTACTGGCCGCCAAATGAAACTACAGATGTACCATAAACATGTTCGGATGTTTCTTCCGCCGCAGTGGCCTTTTTAAGGAAAGCTAAAACCGAGTACAGGGCCGACTTAGAGTTTTGTGCGTACTGAAACAAAGAATGAAATATGCGCCCTTCCCTCGGGGGTGGGGTCTATCGGCAAATGAAAATTGGCCCTGGGCCAACGTAGCTAATAATGCCTTTCTTATAATTGAGGAGCGCGGGGTGGTCATGACCCCCTGGATCCTCCATGATTGAGAATTTTGCAATCCCTCATGACATTGCGCCCTGAGGCTGCTGCCTCACCACCCATTGTCTTATTCCAAATTTTCGCATTTTCATGTCGCTATAAACTACGAGAGGGCCCTAAGTTCCATTTTCCTATTCTAAATAGGGCTCTGCGACCATTATTTGTCGGCCGCATTAGAAAAAGGTAAACACCTACGTATGTTTATTAGAATTGCCATGAAAAAGTGATAAAACGTCATGTTTTTCTGTTAAATTTTAAATTTCGTGTAGCTTAGTGAGAAGCCTTTTTGTGATTGCTGAAAATGCCTAGAGTGCGTAGAAATCGCCGGGTGTCCCAGCTAAATGACTTTGAGAGCGGTCGAATTGTCGGGTTGCGTGATAAGAGCCGTTTCTAAGAGGACCAACAGTTCCTTACGCAGTATATTGGAGTGTGAACAAGCGTGGACTGAGGAAAGCCGAGGACAGCGAGCGAGGGGTTCTGGACGTCCCAGAGGGACCAAAGAGCGACAAGACCGCCGGTTAAGACTTCTGGCCCTGAGAGACAGACTGACGAATCCCGCTTCTGTCTGGGTATGCACGATGGTCGGGCAAAAGTGAGGCGACGTGTTGAAAGACGTCACCCACAATTTGACAGAGAGCGTCATGTTTACCACACCGTGGGAGTAATGGTATGGGGTGACATTGCTTATGGTAGCAGATCACCACTAATTTTCATCAGATGCAATATGACAGCCCGACGCTGTATTCAGGAAGTAGTGGAGCCTCATCTTATTCCATACCTAAACA